TGGAACAAGTGGAAATCGAGGGCCTGCGAGCCCAGTTGGCAAGTCAGCAGAAGTGAGTAATGGCTCCCTGCTTTGGAAGAGGAACATCAGACTGTTCCAACCTCATCAGCCCCTAGATCACTCATTCACATACCCTGTCTGGCCCTGAAGGTGGCTAGATTTTGGCCCTAATCTCTTCTACTAAAGCTTTCTCTGTGACCCACGCTCTACAGCACCCTCCTAAAATTCCTGCAAATCCTGCCCTCATGGATTGCTGTCACACAAAATTTTGGAATATGTCTTTATAGATGAAGCATCAGAGCTTTCCTTCTTATTATTTTTGCATTATGACATGGAAAGATTATATAATTACATACAAAACCTGAATTCATTATACACCAAAAGAAAATCAAGGTGAGTGTTTAAATGATCTCGAGGTGCTGAAAGAAAACTATTATGAAAACATAAAAGCCAGTAAATCAGAAAGAAGTAAATATAACTAATATGACTGACAAAAAGTTATTATCCCTAATTAAACTTCATTAAGGAAAATGAACCTTATAAAATAAGAGATAAATATACTTTCAAGTAATTCACAGAAGAAATACAAATAACCAAAGAAAATATTAAAAGATAGCCCATTTTACCAGTAATCCAAAAGATATAAATCAAAATGCGATTCTCCTTTCATCTATCATATGTTAATTCATTCAGCAAACATTGTTGTTCCAAATACTATCAGTGTGGCCAGTATTTTTTTAAATGGTAATAATTTTAGGATTCAGTAAGAGAAGTACCATCATAAACTGTGGAAAACAATTTTACAGTATGCATCAGGAACCATAAAATAGTTACTACCCTGTGACCCAGTAATTAAGCTTCTTGGAATTTATCCTAGAGAAATAATCAGTGTGGCAGACAAAGATTAATGTATGAGGATGTCAATCATGGCATAATTTATAATATCAAATACATTAGAAACCTAAATGTCTAACAATAAGGAGTGATTACACAAATCATGGTACATTCAAATGAAGAACAATTATGTAGCATTAAAATTATATTTTCAAAGACCATTTAGTGATATAGGAAAATGCTCATGAAAAATTTTCAAGCCTGCATTTTGAAAAGAATTAAATATAACCAATCAGAGTGACCCATTCTCTCTTGCCTTATGATCCAGGAGTTATTTTTGCTTCCTACAGTTTGCTATCTAATACTTCTCCCCAACCTGAAAAGCATATAACATTTCTCCATATGCTTCTTACTTCAGGTAGGCATTAAATGCAGGGTCTCAGACAGAAGAACAGTAATTGCTTCAGGAGAGAATGAAACAATATGGTTTAACATATACTGGACATACACAAAGTACTGAACAGTGCTCTGGACTGTGTGTAGAGACTGTTTCTACAGAAAGCAAGAAAAGAACGTAAAAGACCAAGAGTAAAGCAGACAGATGGGGCAGAGGCTTAAGGAAAATATGCAGAAGATAGAAAGTCAAAAAGTGCAATTAGTTGGATTTTAAGGAAATTCTCTGCACAACACTATAGTATTAGAAGTTAAGAAATTCCCTTTTTGAGGTATTTATAGTTTTATGTAGATCAGACAAGACACTTACAAGAAGCATTATTTGTTTCTTGTAACACCAACCACAGGAAAGGCCAAAAGGGATGTCACGGCAGAAAAAGCAGAACTACCTTACTACCATGAAAAGAACAACAACAAAAATTGAAAGTCTGAGAGCACCAGAATAAACTGTCTGCACAAAAGACGATTATAGTAAAACAAAGAGGAAGTTGCATCTTGGTTTTGGAAGTACTGAACTGTGCAAAGCCAGAAACCAATTTGCACAGTTATTTGCCTGCAGGAGCCCAGTGATTGCATATCCACAACGAAAACAGTGGAAACTGGACTCTACCAAATCCCTATAGCACAGCTACATGGCCACTTCTGAAGCAGTGCTTACAACCAACCAGTCCTTGTGAGTTTGTGGAGCACAATAGATTTATGAGGAACTTGGCAACAATCTTAGGGATTGGCCTCCTAAGAAACCAAATATGACATCCTAGCCTAGAGAAAGCCAAGGAGTCACTTGCAGAAAGATCAGCAGAGCACACTGGTCTCCCTTCTGTGAGTAAAAGCTCATAATTTTTCATGGAAAATTGGTGAAGGGGTTAACCTATAAATAATACATTTATATGGTGGCAAGAAAATGACTCCTTGTGTCACTATAAAAGAATAAGCAAGCAATTGCTTAACGCTACACTGTCAGTTACATACAACTGGCCTACTTTCCTTCCATACCTGTGCCCTTTTTGGGTTCTAACAGGGACTCATGTGGACTCTTATTTAATATTTAATCTTTTACAGTGTAATCACAAGGCTTAAAGTATTCAGCAATTCAGAATCTCCTTTTCTCTTTATTCTCTTTCGTTTTGATGTTTGTTCTCTCTCTTCTAGAGGCCTGGCTTTGTTTCTGTACTTCTGTATTGGACTTTCATTGCTCTACAAATCATTGCTTTTTCAACATTTTTCTTCTGGGAAGTTAAAAAAAAACAACTCAATATATCCACCCCAATCATTTTCATATCATTGATTTCTCTTCCTTTCAACAAGTTGTTTTAACCCCTTGTAACATTTTTTTTACCACTTCTAAATTTCCACTTTTTGGACAATTCCACCATCCTCTTTGCATATGTCTATTCTCCTCTTCAAGCACTGTAATAAACTCAAATTCATTGAAATAACTGGCCTTTGTGCCATCTTCATTTTGAATTGATTTCATATATAGGTTGCCTTATTTTTTCTATCATCTTTCCATCTCTGAGCAGTGCTTGCATTCTTTACCCTCTTTGTCCATTCTTCTCAGCATGTAACAATGTCCTTTTAAAAATTTGTATTCTGTACTCTGGTTTTTTGCTGTTGTTGTTGTTGTTGTTGTTTGTTTGTTCTGAGACAGAGTCTTACTCTGTTGCCCACTGGAGCACAGTGGAGCGATCTCGGCTCACTGCAACCTCCACCTTCCAGGTTCAAGCAATTCTCGTGCCTCAGCCACTCAAGTAGCTTGGATTACAGTCATGCGCCACCACACCCAACTCATTTTTGTATTTTTAGTAGAGATGAGGTTTCGCCATGTTAGCCAGGCTGGTCTTGAACTCTTGACTTCAAGTGATCCACCCACCTCAGCCTCCCAAAGTGCTGGGATGACAGGTGTGAGCCACTGCACCTGGCCTGCATCCTCTACTCTTATGCTTGGTCAGCTTCAAACTGAAGTGACCTAACATAAGTCTTTTCTTTACCTTGACATGTTCACTGTTACTCCTAAGATGCTGGTCATCTGAGATTGCTTTTTTAAACTTCTTAATGGATGTGAGGTGGTTCATTTATTGTCTGCTGGTCAGTCTGTCACTCTGCTGGCTCCAGGGCAAGCTTAGCTGGTCTGGTTGTTCATTCCCCACTCAACAGCTACACAGTCAGATCTTATTCACAGCTGCTCACTCGTGCAAGAAGACAACCTCCCCCACACACAGCAAGACTATCTTGCAGTCAAGAAAACAGAGGTGGTGGCTCTACTTCCCTACTTTCTTCTGAAACTTACTACTGCTCATTTTGACCTTGCCTTTTTGACCTTGCTCATCTTCCTTGCCTCCTTCCCTCCACAGTGCTACAGCCTCTAAAGTAACTCCTTGACCCTGTACACATATGTCTCAGCATGTTTCTGTGTTCATTCTATAGCAAATATGATTTTAATTCTCAGCCTGGGATTTTTTTCTTTCTACTCACATTCAATCTCTAGTCATTCCTTTGCTAGACTGACTCACTTTGTGTCACCTGACTTCTCTTTCTCTCTAAAATGACACCTTTTCCACATCCTAAATCTCCACTTTCTGCTTCCTTCAACTTGTCCATCATCCTGGCTTTCAGTTGCTCAGCAGCTAAAATGCTCATCTGTCCAGCTAAAACTCATCTGCCCTTACCACTTTCTGTTCTACATAGGCATTTTGATACACTATGAGAGACCTTAAAATCTTCTCAATGAGCCAGATATATTATAAAACAATAGTGGTGTCTTTTGTTAGTATCTTTCAGAATCTGACTCCCTCCTGGAAGGTTTTGTAACAATTATAGTCAAGTTCACATATATTAGACATTTATAGAAAGGGTAGAAAAGGGCATAAGAAATGTCTAAAGAGCAACCTTCAAAATAAATCTTCTGAGAATCTGACTTTATATCTATTGATGTTTATTCAATCAACTGATAAAACGTACAGGGAAACAGAAGGGAATGATCGCCAATGGGAGAAAATGATGAGAAAGATAGAGCAAGTCTCTAAAGTTTGAACTTCATTTTGTAAAAACAAAGGAGTTATCATAGACAAAATCAAATTGGCAAATGTACATTTAAAATGTTTACCTTCTAAACAAATTTGCAAAGATGCCAATTTAATGTTGATCTTCATGTTAATGGTATTAAATTTATGAATAGTACTCATCAGGCACCTGTTTTTTAAAGTTATAAAATGGAAACAGTTCCTTCAAAAGAATTGAAAGTTTAGACTCACACTTCCAATCAGAGGTTGCCAGTTTATGGCTTCTACAGAAAGTACGTCAACCTACAATTCAAGGAGGCCAGAGACTACCTGCCAAATTCGTCCTGATTAGGACTGAATGCACCCCCTCACTTCATACTCTGTCTCCGCAGTAGCCTCTCTTCCCCTCTCCTTCAGGACCCTCATTTGTTGCCATGGTTTATCCATGGCTCAGGCTGATATGGGAATTCTCCTCCCTTCTGGCCCAGTAGTTTTGGGTACCAAGCACTGTTTTCTTGTGGACTGTCCCCTAGCATACCTTGGGGTGCATAGTCAGGCATTCTGGGAGGCTGTTCCTCTCTTTAGCTCAAACCTAGGTGTAAGTGCTGAATAAATGAAGGGACCAGAACTTGAAAATATGACAACAAGCCACGGATACAAAACACGATTGATAGGATGAGCAAAATAATGTAAAGATATAAAATGTGACACCTGATGGGCCAGAATATAGATATTGTGTCCAACATCTTTTGGAGAAACACCATCATCTCCACCCTCGTCATCCCCATGGTCACATTCCAATCCTTGGTTGTAGGCATTCTTCATCACATCCACCTATCGAAAAGAAAAAAGAAGACTGAAATGCCAGAAACAACATCCGCTTTACATTGTTTATGAGGTTTAATTAACAATTGGGCAGCTTCATGAGCCTCAAAAGTATAAAAGGACTCTAAATGAAAATGGCCTTGGAAACCATCTTTATTTCAATGAATATGAAAGTATTTTCCTACAACATTCCCCTTTTCCTTCGAAATTTTTGTTTGAAATTTGAATGTTTATAGTGTCAAAGTTCCCAAGAATTAGGAGAATCGAGAACCCCCGTAAACATGCATTATTTACTAAGTGCCCACTAAGTAACAGGCAGACATGGTGCTAGAAATTGCCCTGGGAACTGAGGTTCCCAACAGTGGATGGGAGAGAGTACCCTCAAGGAATTTACTGTCCAGTGGGACAAGCAAGGAAGGAGGCAAACACAGTGGGGTGCTGTCAGTCCTACTCCAGGGCTATGTATGTTTCTAAGGAAGTGCAGAGCAGGGGCATATACTCAAGCAAGAGGTGGAGGGTGGGCCCCAAGGAGGAAGGGGATGACAGGATAAAGGTGTTGTCCACAGAGGAACTAGTATTTTCAAAGGGCTATTACACAGTGCCATTGTTGAATAAATAATATAATTCACTGCCACATTTAACCATAGGATAGGAAATGTGTTGGTCCTTGTAACTCACTGCTTGCAGATAGACACTGGGCTCTCATTAAATATATATTAAATCAAACTTCACTTTATCTCTCTTTTTGCCTGACCTCCATGACTCCATTCTTTACTAACAAAATGATAGCAAAAGAGTGTTGTGCCAGGCTTTCATAGGAGATGCCCATAGCACCAACAACGGCCCTGATGTGAGTGGAGCTTAATCACCAGGGCACTGAGCTATATTATGTGAGTATGTTCTCAATGCTTTTGGAACCCAATGCTTTTAAAATACACCTGCATTATTTCATAATGTGTATGCCATGAGTGAAAAGGAAAAGATAACTTCTACAATAGGAAGACACACTAATGATCTCTGTGGAATCTCTACTACAGTCTGCACAGTTTCCTTGAGGCCAAGCATTGTACAACATATTACTGAGAAGAACAACTACAAAAAAAAACTAATTTTATTTTTCAGAAAGAGGTATAAATAAAATTTTTGAAGAGTACAAACATTTTTTTTTTTACATCCCTTCCTCATATGCTCCAATACACCATTAAACTAAAGCCAACTTTTTTTCTGGCAATACACATTTGCATATAGTTTAGTATAGTGTGATAAGTTGGCTAAGAAAAGCGCTTGGAGTGGATAAAACTACTGAAGTCATAAGGCCCAGATCACACAGGCCTTTGCCAACACAGGGCCTTCTGAGGTATTGGAAACGGTAGGTCATGATGCTCCATTTGTCTCAGTAGAGCAATGAAAATCAATCAACTTTTTTTTCTGACATGCATTCTCTAAACTTGTTCCTTTTAGGTTACTCAATATTAACCAAGCTTCTAAAAGTTTTCTTACCAGTTCTCTGGGTCTCATGTTAAAAAGAATTCTTTCTGCGTTCTCGCTGTCATGTCTGCTTTCCATAATGGCCAGCAAAAGTTTAGATGCATTGTTCTAGAGACACAGTTTGAGTTAATGTGCATGCAAAGTCAATTTCATGGATTAACGATTTCTCTGCATTTGTTTTAATTGAGATTACTAGGACCTCTTTTTTAATCAAACGAAATTTAAAACTGCTAATTTCATTTGTCTTGTTAACATTCTAAAATAGAACATTTTACTTCACTGTCAACACAAAATATAACTAATGAATCATGAGAGCTATGTTACAAGAGATATTTTAAATATTGGTGAAAAGGTACTTCAAATGCAAAATTGACTTACTATATATCGCACTAAAACATAATCATATTTTTCCTCACTGTTTCCTAAATAGGCATTTCAAAAAACAAGGTGAACAGGTATCAGTAACATTTTACAGAAACGGTATACAATTTAAAGAATTTAGCACAATTGTTAAAATGAAATATTAATACATATTAGCATATCGAAATCTAAAACTATATGAGCAATAATTAGAATTAATCTATAAAATTACAAATTCATGTATTAGAAATATAAACTTATTGATAATGGCTTCCTAGTCTCACTATATGGCAGGTGAGATGCAACTTGTTTCCCTTTGGGTTATGAAAGAATATCTTCTATTTTCGCTTAACAGAAAATGAAAATAGCTTATGTTGTCTTTGAAGTGTTCTAATTTGTTTTATCAATATATTATCTCAACCATTTCTACCTACAGATATCAAAAATATTTCTGATACAATTTATAATCCAAAATAGATACTCAGAGTTACAGAAAATCTTAGCCAAGAAAGCACAATATCCTAAACATTTTGAAAGATGTTACGTTATACTGTGTTTTTAATAGTGCTGGCATAGAATTTTGGCAAATTGCAATATGAAATTAAATATCCAGGATTTACTTCTACAGTGTGCTCATAATATTCATTTAGATAACAATCTTAACCTCCACACACAATCTTTGATAGAAGTACAAAAGAATTGGAGTTAACATGGCTTTAAGATGCTTCTAAGTGACTCAAAGTTAACATATCATAGGATGAAAATTAAAATGAATTGTGTTTGGTCTAAATAAATAACGATCATGCAAATTTTGTTAAGGTTGTGCAAATTAATTCTCCTGGGTAGTTTTAACACCAAATTCTATCCAACTATTTCCCCCACCCCCCGCCAAGAGGTACAGCCTAAAGATCATCTTAAGTGACCAATAACAGTGACGATGATGAAGATGATGATTGACACTAATGTCACTGACTCATTATGAAAAGACTTTAGTATTTTGGGGGAAAGGGAGTATTATCCTTTTCTGCTCCATTTTCATATTTTGCAGACTTCAACCAATCCTAAAATTCTCTTCAACAATCTAGTATCCCACATAAATAACATACCTAAAAGAGTAAGGTTCTAGGATTAGTGGAGAGCTTAAATCCTAGGAATAATCTGAACAGATCATGGAATTCAAAGCTAAAACCTTGGCAACACTGACAGTGTTATCTAATGAACCTTCCCTCAGCAGGCCCAATACATGATAGCTTAAAAATACATTCAATTTCAGAATGCTATTGGCAATATGGTATTTTTTCTAGCCAAACTTCTTTTCCATATTATGTCAGAAGAATAGAAATCTTATAAACGGCCTAATGAAATATGAATCAAATTTATAGTATAAGAGTCTATAAATACCACAAAATCAAATGGAAACATCAGTGTTAGTGCAGGAGTTTCTTCTTAAAGAAGCCACATTCTTTAAAAACAAAACAAAACAGAAATCTTTACCTATTTACAAACGAAGCACTTCATATTTACAGGTCAGTTTTGCAAATGAAAATAAAAAGGACACCAAATATCAAAAAGTAATAGAATCTCGTACTAAATGAGTATATAAAGCTAAGTATACTTAAAATTAGGGATGATTCAGCAATTAAATTCAGGAATGAATGACATAAAATAAAACCTTAATAATTATTAATATGATATCTTTTTAATGTTAAAGATAATTTATTATTTAAAGTACCCTATGCATGGAAATCCCTTAAATTTCTAATATATATTATTCTGTCTTACAAACATTGTTCTTATATCGGACAACATGTACAAAGCCTCAAAGATTGTTTAGAAAAGTACACATACCTCATTCACTAAGAAAAAAAAGACTATACTTTAAATATTTCAAGTCAAATCTATATTTGGTATTTTGACTTATCCAACTGTCATATCTTTAAAAGGTAACAATTGTACATACTAAAATTAACAAAAATTTAAATAACTTTTTTTAAAAAAGCATTTTCATTTGAATAGTTGATAATATCTTTGTGCTGTTAAGTGATGCCCTCTCACTTAATTTTTTTACACAGGCTTTGATTTGTAAATAATCTATATGCTTATACTTTATTTTACATGGATGAGTCATTCAGTATTTCTGCCCATTAAGTTTAATTAACTACAAAAGAAATTTAAAGTTATAGTCTTTAGACTAATGAAGGATTTTAAAAGCCAAAGATCAAGACCTGTCTATGTTGTTTCTTAATGAATTATGGTTAAAGATGAATTTAAGATAAAACAACAAAAATTTTTCTAATAACTTGAATTTAAGCTGACTATCTCACAGGCTGGTTTCATTAACTGAAGCATGATGGTAATGAATCAAAGCACAAAAGTACATCTACGTAAAAATCACCTTTTCTAATCTATGAATAGAAAGAACAGAAGCTTATACATATTACAACTGAAAACATGAAAAAATACAAACCCATCTCTTCTATTAAAGAAGCAGTTAAGCTGGGTGTGGTGGCATGCACCTGTAATCCCAGCTTATCAGGAGGTGGATGCTGGAGGATCACATGGGCCCAGGAGTTCAATATCAGCCTGGGCAACATAGTGAGACTCCAACTCAAAAAAATAAAATAAAGATAAAGAAGCATATGCTTACTAACAGCCTTTAGCACAATCTTCACATAAACATATGTACTTTCCATTGTAATACCTAAACCTAACTTTAGAAACGGAATTAGAAAAATATCATTCCTATTCTTCTTGGCTACAAATTTACCCATACAAAGTTAAATTTAATTATACATTCTTTATAGTCTTGGATAGACCAGGCTTCACAGAGAAATTGTAATTTAAGCAAGGATTATTTTTTCCTCGTTAACCCTAAACACAATAATGTGGTCTTTACTAGCTCATCTCAATTGAATATCATGCCTTAGCATTTGGGCTTTATACAATTTATTGTGTATATTAATTTGTGCTCCCGAGCTCTTATAAATGAAACTGCTGGGAACTGTGTACAAGGCTTAAATTAAAGAAATCTCTTAGAGTGTGGATATCACTGAAAGTATTTTGGGGAAAAATAATATTTTAATGTAAAAGAGAACAACTTTTAGAAAGAAGAGAGCCATAAAACTAAAATGCAGCACTCCTTTGACTTTGTCTAATTCCTTGTGACTTTCTGGGTGGAATTCTGTGGTCAATGTGTTTTAAAAATATATCAACACCTTTTGCTTCTCCCTATAATGAAAAATATAAAATAAAAACTAGACCGGGTGCGATGGCTCATGTTTGTAATGCCAGCACTTTGGGAGGCCGAGGCAGGTGGATCATGAGGTCAGGAGTTCCAGACAAGTCTGGCCAACACAGTGAAACTCTATCTCTACTAAAAATACAAAAATTAGCTGGGCGTGGTGGCAGGCACCTGTAATCCCAGCCACTCGGGAAGCTGAGGCAGAAGAATTGCTTGAACTTGGGAGGAGAAGGTTGCAGTGAGCTGGGATCACGCCACTGCACTCCAGCTTAGGCAGCAGAGCTAGACTCCATCTCAAAAAGTCAAGTAAAATAAAATAAAAAATAAAAATAAAAATAAAAACAAAAGGGAAATCATGAAACACAGTGGCTGCTTGGAGAACTTCCAGGAAAGGACCTTGCCATGGAATATTACCTCAAAGCTAACTTCACATTGCATCTGGAGTTTAGTAAGCATTGTACTTTCACTATCGCTTTCTGTCAATTGATTCGTTGAAAACATGATAGTATGCTTTTGACAAGAGCTGCTTAAAGATTGTACTATAGAAACTGTAGCTTTTCTGGCCTGAACAGTGGATTCGCTCTACCTTTAGCTGGAGCACCAGATCCATTCGGTATTTACCAAGAGGGTTTATGTCATTCAGAATCAAAGCAATGATGATATCAATCCCATTAGACTCATGTGTAGCGATACAGGTCTAGAAAACAAAATATTTGTAGAACAGCATTTGATTCACAACAGAATAGCACAGAACTAACAGGATATAAAGCAACATAAAAACCTTAATTTTTAACCTTTAAAAAATAGCTAAGATTTGCCCTTGAGCATTTGACTTATTCTTTTGTATAGGGTCTGGCAATTAATTGATTAGTATTGATCAAATGGCCTTGTATGCAGAACACTGAGAGAGGAGACACTGTGTGAAGCATATATCTTTTAAAACATACTGTGTTTACAGAATTTCGGAGACTACTGGTTAAGTTAAATATCCTTTCATTCAATAAACTTTAATATACCAATCAACGGAGGAGTTCTTTAAGGTCAGAATTTTAAGATCTGAATTATCCTCAATAAAACAATTTTCCCATTTATGAAAGACGTGTGTCCCTCATACCTGAGATTTGTGGGCAAATTTTACAGTACCGATGAAGCAATTTAAATTGATTGCTACTTAATGCTAAACTGATGACAAGAGATGCTGCTGTCCATGCCAGGTGGAAGCGAAGACAAGTAATATAGAGACTCTCCTGATGTCTGGGGACATGCTGTCAATAATGATGGCCAAAGGAAAAATTTACTGAATTTCTTAAACTTACATGAGGGATCTTCATTGGGGAAAATTTATGAAACATCCTGTGAGATAAACATCCACATTTTGAAGGTTAAGATCAACTGTGCTGGGATTCTGAATTTAATGTTACAGGTCTTAAATCAGGAACTTGTGAGCCAGATTTGTAGGACTATGTGTTAACAATGTAGCACCTTGTCAAGGGGTACGAAAAACTGAAATCCTGGCAAGTTAAATGAGAAAGAACAAAATCAAGACAATTTCGAAATGACTGCTTTTTCAGCATGGGCTTTATTTCTCCCTTCATACAATGGAGTTTTTATTCCTCTGACACAGAGGAAAGGTGTTTTCTACCCATCTCCTACCTTTCCTGAGGTTCTTTTGCTCATTAAAATATTTGCCAAACTTAAAGAGAATCTTTTTGCAGATCATCTCCAGAATTTGCCAGCAATCTTTCCTCCCACACATTTTCAGAGCAATGGGGAAGTATTTGTGAGGTTCATGTTATTTGAAAATTAGCTTTTACTTTTAGAACTTATTTGGTTTTAGTAAATTATTTTCAAAGTTCACTTCCATTCTCTTATGAGACCAAAACTGGGGAACATTCTCACAAGCTTTCCCGGAAACAGCAGAAGAGACAAATGGTATAATTATTTTCTATTATAGATGTACAAGTTTTTATCAACAACAAAACCAAATCTTTGAATTTGTATGCTTTTCCTTAACTTTAAATCAACATCTAGGTTTTCTTGTATCATTGCTCTGGGAGACTGAAATATAACCCAGAAAAATGCAGGGAAAAATCCACAAACTCTTTTGGTATTTCATATGTACAGTACAGAAAGGGAAAATACCTCCATAACAAATTGTTTATGCCAAAATTGTCCTGTTTTTATTTTATACAACTATGCATGTACATATGTGTGCATATGTTCATAAATATATGTGTGTGAATAGACACCATGTGCATGTGTGTGTACATCTCATGTAAATTGCAATTTTTAAAAAAGCAAATTTCTTTTTCACATTTTTCTATGTCAATCATTGTTGTTTTTGCTCTCAATGGCTTCTTTAATATTTATATCCAGAAATGTTTATGACTTGAAAACTCTGTCTTCTGGACTGATCCATGCCTATGATGGTAGCTCCATGATGCCTGAGAGGAGGTGATACAGTCAACTGGCAAACTTTCAGGTGGCATCCCTTCCCTTAATTGACCCAAGTGTCCTGCCTTCTACTCCCATAATATGTCCTTGATATCCAAGTAAACAAAATTAGAGGCAAACATTCTGGAAACGAGACTTGAAACTGTGCCCTCCAGAATGTAATATAGTCGTAAGAGCACTCGATTTAGACTCAGAATCAAAAATCCTTAGTTGTAAGAGTGGCTCTACAACTTACTGATTCTGTCACTCTGAAACTCTGGAAAGTCACTTAATCTTTGAGTTAGAGCCTACTCATCAGCAAAGTAGGAATAATGACACCTATTCACAAGTGTATTGTGCATATAAAAGAAACAACATATACTACTCCTTGTAGGGGTGCCAAAAGAGCCAAAGAAAGTTTATTCCACAAATCCTGGAAAGGTTCACTAAAGATGAAAACTGGGTAGTGGTCATGACACATATTTCACTTTTTTCAGTAAGTCGATTTTTATCTTGAACATTTTCAGGAGAATTGTTTTTACAATGAAATTATATACAAACGCAACATAGCATTTCCTCATCTATAATTCAGTCTTTGTATGTTTTATTAGGAAAGTAAAAATGTCTGGCACAGCAAGAAGAAAGATCTTTCAAGTGCACACAAAGATTGGCTCCTTCCCCAACTTAATCCCTTTACTAATTAGTCATGAATACTTCTCGTTACCTGATTTTCATGGCAGGGGCCCTGGCAATACTCAGTCAAGCTCTCCAGGGTCTGGTTGACCAGTGCTACGTTCTTCTCATTGATGTAGAGACCCAACAGGCCCAGGCCACCGGTTGTACTTCCGCAAATGCAGTCCAGAAACTGAAGGGTCTCACAGACAAGGTTGTAATTTGTTTTGTTGTTTTGATTCCTCAAGAAGTTCTGAAGGCAAAAGAAAATAAACCTGAAGGGTTACAAAAATTCACTGTGCTGATTGTTTGTTGTTCTCCCCATATGTGCGCTTTTCTAACTCTTCTTTGTAAGAAAATTATTCGCATTTATTAAAATTGTCCTCCATTTAAGGAGGGAGAAAGGCCCTTAGGCCTTAGGTTTTTCCTCAAGCATCTCTCTATCTATCTATATATATATACACACACACGCACACACACACATACATATATACACACACATATATGTACTATATATAATATATAATATATAATATATTGTGCCTTTGTGTGTATATATATATTATATATATATATATCTCAAGATAGTTCATAATAAACATTTCTCAGTGTCATTATCATCAACCTACACACAGAGGGCAAAAGTAATGAGAAGTGGGAAAAAGAGAAAAAAAACTAGGTAGAAGTTCATTAGCGAGAGAAGCAAATTTTCAATTATAAATAATCTCATATGAACAGTGCAACTTCATTGTTCATTGATTATAAATGATATAACCATTATGAAGGGCAACTGGAAGTATCTATCAAAATTTTCAGTTAACATACAGCTCCACTTCTAAAAAGCTTTTCTAGATATATGTACACAAGTACACCAACAGGTTCCCTGCATACTGCTTGTTATACAAACACCAGAAACCATATCATAATTATGGTAATGTGACTGGCTTAATAAACAATAGTATATCCAAACATTAGAATACTGTAAAACTATAAAAATTCGGTACTTCAACATGTACCAATAAACATAACCTGGCAATAAGTAATTGACTAATAACAGATATTACTAAATGAAAAATGTAAGTTGAGGAATATCATAAAATATGATTTTTTTTTTTTTTTTTCTTGAGAGGGAGTCTCACTCTGTCACCCAGGCTGGAGTGCAGTGGCAAGATCTTGGCTCACTGCAAGCTCCGCCTCCAGGGTTCACGCCATTCTCCTGTCTCAGTCTCTGGACTAGCTGGGACTACAGGTGCCCGCCACCACGCCCAGCTAATTTTTTGTATTTTTTTAAGTAGAGACAGGGTTTCACCATGTTAGCCAGGATGGTCTTGATCTTCTGACCTTGTGATCCACCCATCTCGGCCTCCCAAAGTGCTGGGATTGCAGGCGTGAGCCACCGTGCCTGGCCGGAATACCAAAGAATATGATTTTTAAAAAATGTTTACCTGCACAGATCAACATGCTTATGCATGCATAAAAATTTCTAGAAGAAAAAACCTAGACCCTGACAATATTCAGTCAAGTTCTCCAGATTAATCACCTGTTAACAGTGATTTTCTCTGGGAAGTAAACCTAGTAAAAGGGTAAGCTGGGAAGGAAACTTGTTTTATATTTCAATTTAGTATTTATTTCTATTAATTTATTATTTAATGTGTTTATTTGAATTTATATCTACCATTTATTCTTCTTAAGACAATTTTAAAAGTAGTATTTTCTATACTGATCCCACACTCCTATCAGTAAACTGTTCAATCAGATACTATCTAATGTGTTATATACCCTATATGTCTATTTCCTACACTGACAGATGAAATGGGTTAGGATACGCCCATGGGCACTGATCCAGTATTGTCCCTCCAGAAGCAGTGTTTCTGGCCTTGGCCTGCCTGTGTACAAACAATGCAAAAAAGTGGCCAAAAGTCAAAATTCATAGGCACTCCTAAGTTCATCTATCTAACAAAGGAAAATGCAGGAAAGAAGATATAAGACACTGACTACATTCATTTTTGAATGTATCCACCTTCACTCTAGTTAAAAACATCCTCTTCTATGTTAATTCTGTTTCAAATGAAGACATACAAATATACTCAGTATTCTCACTCGAGAAATATGAATTGGCTTGAAAATAATGAAAGCCCCTTAAGACTATAAAACCATGAAAGATATAGATGAGACAAATATGATCTCTCTCAACAATATAACCTTACCAGAGAATACTAGGAAGAGGATGCCCACTGAGGCTAAAAATATTTGAGGCTAAAAATATTGATGAGGATGATACTGTGTGAGGCTGATTTTTTTTTTTTTTTTTTGTATAAAAGGATTTTCTTCTTCCTTTGCTTCACTGATACCAAAGTTTCTTCCCATTTCAGAAGAGGACAATTGCTTTTATTGATTATCTTTCCAAAACTCTCTCCAAAACTACTTGTTGGTTTTACTGGAATTTAATTACTTACAAACATAGGTTGTATTCTCAGCTTTCACACAAAACAGAACAAATACCTGTAATTCTCGGTTGTGATTCTCACACAGTAACTGAAGAAATCTCAGTATTGGCTGCATGATGGCAATTGCAGGACTCATTGTTACTTCCTCTGCAGATTTTTCCTCAGTGTTTCCTGCTTCTGGTCCTGTGCACATAATGTCTATTTCTGGATCCATTTCTCTTCTGTATACACAATATGCTTTGGATGTTGCTGAAGAAGCTTCTGTTAATTGCCCTTTCATTCCCTCTTTTAAATGTAGTGTTGAATCTCTTACTGAAAACAAAGCAGTACTTTTATATTTCTGAGCCAATTTGCTTTTGCTAATTTTTAGAAAAAAAGAAAAACAACCAGGTACCCAAATTCTCTAACAACTGAATTACAAATAATCTGAAAAAAGGTGCAACAATTTCCAAAAAGGATTTGAGATAGCACTTAAAAGTGAAATTTGCAGTGGGTCATAAAAAAGATCTCAATGCTTAGCAAATTTTAAAATGACTCATGTCTTTCTGATATATATAATATATATATTCATATATATAAACATATATATATGAGTTTCATGTTCAAGAAGGTAGGAAAATGTGACAAACTTCAAAATGTTAGTGTCTTTATGATTTGTATTTAATACATGGATGATTTTGTCATTCTAATACCAAGAATCTTTCATTGGAGTTTGGTGTGGTAATTTCTGTTTTTAAAGTTTTATTTTCATGGTCACTTAAAAGATTTGGGGCAGTTATTCTTTACCATGCATGCAACAGTGAAATCAAACATTTTTCATGTCGTTGGTTGCTTTGTACTGATTATGTCTCATTTAAGTCTAGTCCTGCAGAGCCGTTTTAGGGTCAACCCATGACCAAAATTCTTTATGGATGATCAGAGCCACAGTGGGGATAATTAAACCAAGAGAAGAGAGATGACAAATGTTAATGAGATTTAAACACTATTCCCCTCTTTTCTCTCACTCTGTTCTCCCAAATACTCAAATGCTTCTTTACCTCTCATTCGTGGACCAGATGTCATCAATTCATTGTCATCGTCCCTTTTTTTGCTACCTAAATCTATGGTATTAACTGTCACTGTTGATCTTATTTCTTTCTGAGCAGCCTTCATTCGATCATAGAGAACTTTAAAGAATTTTTCTGACTTTTTTTGTTCATGCAACTGCTGGTAGAAAGAATACTGCAAGAAAACATATTTTAAGACATCAATACCCAAGGGGAGACAAATAGTGTTTTTATGCTTGAAATAAACATAAGCATTATAGGTAAAAGCACATACTTAATGCACTACCCATTATTATTTCATAAATTGACAGCCTTTGCCAGTTTCTTGTACTATTTAATGTGTACTAATAATAGTTGGTATTTACTTAGCATTTTCCACTAAACTCCAACATATTTTCATATGCTGTTTAATTTATCCTTACTGGTTATATATTTTTAAAAATGTACAGGGACATTATAAGAAGTTGTATGGAAAGAATTCTTTGATTTTTATATTATTATAAAGTCATGCATTGATTCAACATGAATGTATTGAGTGCCTACTATGTGTCAAGCCCTCTGTTAATAGGGATAGAACAAAAATGGAAACCAACCACAATCCTTGCTCTCATGAGTTTGTAATCTAAAGTGGAAAATAGCCATCAACCCAATGATCACCCTGTATAAACATGAGTTTACGGAAAGTTACAAAGGACTATTTTTCTCTTTATCTAAATTACAGTACATTTTAGAAATTTAGAAAGTGTTACCACGGTAGCCTGACTCATGGGATCTCACTGATAAACAGGTACCAACTTCTTTTGGTTACTCACTAGCTACATTGTTTTGCATGGGGTCTCAGACAAATCCACCTTAAAATAAATTTAGTCAATAATGATGCAGAAGTGGTTCAGAAACAAAAGTATGATAAAATGTATCTTTGTAAGATGTGGAAATATTCAGCCCTGGGAAGATTTACCCAATTCTTGTCTGCTCAATGCCTTATGGAAGTGTCCAGGAGAAGCAGTAGGAGGTAGGAAAGATAACACATTCCAGGGAAGATAGAATTTGAAGTGGGTGGGGAAATTATAACTTCTTACTACCAAGATTATGAGATAGACACAAGACAAGATAAATATCATTTGTAAATTAATAAAGATAGTAACTCCCTAACTGTAGTGAATAAAAGAGTTATATAAGCTCGAGGAGAGATAGTATGAAGAAAACATAAGAAAAAATAATTTCCAGATCAAGCAGAACTGGTCCTATTCCAATATAAGAACATTTAAATAGCCAAATTTGGGGAGTTTGCCTCCAGGATATGCTTTCCTTTAGGAATTCCTGGAACCATGACCCACAGGTCTTGGGATCTATAACCGAGACTCTAATGACATCAGGTCTTGAAATGGTTGCCTACCCTGCAATTTTCTCTATGCGCAATGTATATACACAGAATGTCTTACGAAGCCTTAGATGTCAGCTGCACACCTACAAGGGTAAGTTCCTACACAGAAGGCGAGCAACCCTCAAGAAATAAGGCCAAAAAGTCACGGTAACCATAGCAACCACAGTAAAGCAGTCAAGCTGGTTTTGTTAATTCAAACAATAAATGCAGCATCCACAGACCTCTACAATCCCATGAATTAAGCAGATGATAAAGTTCGAATCTTTTCAATATAATGGGGTTAGAAGGTGGAAGGAGTTTCCAATATATTAATGAGGAGTTATGAGAACTTTGTGGCTCTATTGAAACAAAGTTTCATAATTTATGTAGTTCTTACGTATACATCACTTCATGGATACTTTCAATTCACCAGTGTGATGAATAGAGTGTTCTTAGTTCCATTTTATAGATTCATAAAATGAGGTTTAGTAAAGATGAGTGACTTGCCCAATATTATGTAACTAGTAAGGGGTAGAGCTAGGATTTAAATCTAGATTTTCTGACTCTAAATCACTAAATGTATAAAACAACCTCTTACGATCAAAACGCTAGATTATTTACACAGATAACACCTTTTAAGAACCAGGTATCTACAATGCTTAACAACACGATTTTAAAAAGGAAAAGTAGGTTCCATATATATTTATATAATCTCAATAAGTAGCATAAGGATTCCTCTCACTAAAGATATGATTTTTGCTTAGGAAACTACCTCCATTAGCTGCACAGAGTGTAAGAGGAAAGAAACTCCAAGTGTTTTGGAACTAACGGGGATAGATAAACAGATATGTGTGACAGGGGAGTGGAAGAGGCAGAAAAGGGAAGGGAAGTGAGAATGGAGAAAGACAAGAGCATGATGCAGGGAGAATCCTCAAGTGAAATATCCTAGGGGTGAGGACGGAGATGATTATTCCTAGAAAATAGATGCTTCTTGCATCTAAGAGCACAGATCTGGAGCCAGACTGCATGGATTTGAAACCTGGCTCTATCTCTAACTAGCGACGTAAGCTTGGGTCTATCTCAGTTTCTTCTTCAGTAAAATAGGATAACACACCAGTTACCTCGCAGGTTGTTTGAATATTAGCCAAGGTGTAACATACAAATCACAAAGAACAGTGCCTCATATTTAGTAGGTATGATTTTTCTTATTGCTATCATTAGGTTCCATGTGAAACTGTAATATAAGTACCTCCTGTATCCTCCCCTTCAGTTGATCTTTAATAAAGTATAGAACATAGATACGTTGACTTAATGTAGCTAGAAAGGAAGAAATTAAGGAAGGGGCTGCAATTCTCAGCATGACAGAAGCAGGGGTGTTAAGAATCTATGTGCTGAGAAAGCAAGACTGTTTCTGGCTAAGGAGACAGTGAGAATGTAAAACCCCCGGGGAACTGGCAAGTATATTGGGGAGGAGTGTGCTTTAGACTGCTATAGGGCAAGGAATAAGATTTGAGCTAATCTCAACTAGACCTCTTAGAGCCAGGAAAACATAGTTGCCATCTGGGTTATACAATGTGAGACATCCGAGTAGAGAAAGGCTGGTACCTATTGTCATAATCGATCTTAAAAGAAGATTTTCATATATAAAAGTAATTTAACGCTGTTTCATCAACAAATATTTGTTGAATGGCTGTAAAGTATTGTAGACATAAAGAATAGGATATGATCCCCTATATTGAAGAAGTTGAAATTCAACTGGAGAGGCAGGGTATAATACAAATTACAACTAAACAAAGTAGCACGTGCAAAATGCCAAGTGGGTATTAAAGAAACAAGTGCATAGGAGCTGAGACAAGGGAATGGATACCAAATGCCCCAGACGAGCTAGGAACGACTTTATGAAGAAGAAAGAATTTGATTAGGACCATTCATTCACAGATCCATTCCCTCCTGCACACTGATTGAACCCCAAGATTGGTCCAGACACAAGGGGTACCAAGATGAATAAAATGTAGTTGCAACCTTGACGGACTTATAATTTACTAGATGGCACCTGATACACACATGAAGAGGCACAAAAAAGTGGCAGAAATGGCCGGGCCCGGTGGCTCACGCCTGTAATCCCAGCACTTTTGGAGGCCAAGGCAGGTGGATCACTTGAGGTCAGGAGTTGGAAACCAGCCTGGCCAACAGGATGAAACCCCGCCTCTACTAAAAATACAAAAAATTAGCCGGGCATGGTGGTGGGTTCCTGTAATCCCAGCTACTCAGGAGGCTGAGGTAGGAGAATCGCTTGAACCGGGGAGGCGGAAGTTGAAGTGAGCCGAGATTGCACCATTGCACTCCAGCCTGGGCAACAAGGGTGAAACTCCATCTCAAAAACAAACAAACAAAAAAAGTGGCAGAAATGTCATTAAAGACGTTCACAGGTTATAACAGGGGCACACAGTAAGCAGTAATCAATTCTACCCAGTGAGATACAGAGCCTGAAAAGGCTTCTAGGAGAAATGTATTGAGTTGAATCCTCAAAGAGGAGAAAGCAGCATGAGAAATAACACAACGCATTTGAGGAATGACAAAGAGCTAAGTGTAGCTGATGCATAAGAGGAAGGATGCAGGAGGCAAGAGGGTGGAAGAACAAGGGAAAGTTGGAAAATTTGAAGAGAACAGGAAGGATCTTATGGACTATAGCAGGGAGTTTGTCTTTATAGGGCAGGTGACAGATTTTAAGCAGAAGAATAGCATGTTTTTGGAAAGGCATCTTTGAAGGCAACATGAAGAATGATTTGGAGAAGGGCAAAACTGGAAGCAGGGACACCTCTTATAAGACTATTTGTCACTGTCCAGGAAAAGACAAGGAGGATCTGTAGTGAGAGCTGGAAAAGCAGGGATTGAAAATAATAGAGTGTGGATATGAGGGATATTAAGGGGGTAGAATCACAGAAGTTGGTCGTCAGTGGGATGTTAAGGAAGACAGTAAGTGAGGGTGGAGAAGTTAAGTTCAAGGCTGACTATCATTTTCTGATCAGACAACTGGGTAGATGGAGTGCCAGTCATTGAGAGAGATAATGGCAAAAGGAGCAGTGGGTGTATGGAGAACAACAGTAGATTCCATGTGAGATTTGTTGAGCTTAAGGCATTTGTGCACATCCCACTAAATATTCTGGAAGACAGCTGGATACAGAGTCTAGAACGTCAGTGAGTTCAGAAGCATCCAAACACAGTAAACGTTAAAGGTGTGGAAATGAATGAGGTCAGGCTGGAGAACAAACAGAGTGAGAAGAGAGAGTGCAAAGAGACTTGGGAGATGTCAGGATTCAAGAGTTAAGCAGAGGAAGAAAAACCTTTGCAGAAGGCTAAGAAGAAATGGTAGGAGGTAGAAGACAAGCTGGAGAGGGTAGTGTCCCAAGACCCAGGCAGAAAAGCTTTCAAGAAGAAAGAAAAAGTCACTAGTGGCAAATGCCACAGAAAATCATGTAAAGAAGGACTGAAAAATATTTTGGTTGTGAAGAGATCTTGGGGGAACAACTTGCCAGGAATTTATAAGTAGAAGGTGCAGTTTCCAATGGGAGCTGGCTTATTCCGCAGCAATATGAGGATACAAGTAAGCAAAAATAAGTACAAAGGATGAAGGATGATCCCATCTGGTGACCCTTAGTGGCCTAGAAACAGAAATCTAGAAAAGACTGTAATCCTAAGGATTTCTTCTAGAGATGCCCCCTACCAAAAAAAAAATGTATATATATTGTCACTTCTATCCACTGAAAAGTCTCTATCTAATGTTATGTGGTTGCCTGGACACTTCCTCTGGAAAGTCCCAGTTGACAGAACTTCCTGGTTTAAGTCTGAATAGTATTTTGTCATGTTCATAAACCACACTTTTAAAAATCATTCATCCATTGATAAGTAAAATAGTGGAAGCTAAAAATGCTGAAGTCATAGAAGTAGACAGTGGAACATTGGTCATAGAGTCCAGTTTCAGTTAAACAGGAGGAGTAAGTTTCGGTGTTCTACTGCAAAGCAAGGCAATGATACTTAATAACAATAATATGTTATATATTTCCAAATAGCTGAAAGAATTTTAAATGCTCTCACTACAAGTAAATGATAAATATTTGAGGTGATGGATATGCTAATTATCCTCATTTGATCATTACACAACATATATATATCTCTCTCTCTCAAAGCATCAGATTGTACCCCATAAATATACACAATGATTATTTATCAATTAAAAATAAAATACAATTTTTAAAAAGCCCCAACTGAACACCTGGTTCAGATAAGATAACTTCCAAGAAAACTCACTCAACTTCCTCCATCACCTCCTTCCTCAACTTCCTGCAGAGGACATCTATGCTGCAGCTACAGCATCATGAGAATTTTAAACACTTTCTTTTCTCAACTAAGTACTATAGATGTAGTGTTGTTTTGTCACCATGCCACTTGCTGCTCTTGAGGCCTTTATTCCTAAAGCCACTGTGATTGGATGTGTTAGATGGTAATGTTCCTATCGTTCAATGTATTTGACGGTTAAACGAAGCACAATATCCAAGTTTCAAATTAGACATGGCTTCTGCTGGCCATGAGTCGAGAAAATGGCTTTTGGAATTTCTAATTACATACTTAGTTGTAAGTAGGTAGTTTTCTTTACTGACCAAGGCAAACCTAGAAAGAGCAGGCTACCAAGCAGCAAAACAGACAGTTAGATGGGAGGAATAAATTCCTGTGTTCTAATCCTCAGTAGGGTGGCCATAATTAACAATTTATTGTATATTTTCAAATAGCTAGAAAAGTGAATTTTGAGTGTTCCCAACACAAAAAAATGATAAACGTTTGAGGTGAAGGATGTGCTAATTACCTTGATTGGATAATTACATATTATATACATGTATCAAAATATCACACTGTACCCAATAAATATGTACAATTATTACTATTTAACCATAATGATTAAAAAAAAAAAAGACTGGAGGAAAATGTCTGTCATCTGGGAACACTCCCCAGCTCTCCAGCTCATACAGCATGTTTTGCCTTTGGGTGTAGTCAAGCCTACGGGCTACTTGGCAGAAGTTTCAAAAGAAAACATGTGCCTTCTGGAAATAGTGGCCTAATCTCCTGTGTGCAGGTAAGCATATTGCTCACTGTTGTGGAATTCCTGGAATAATGTCAGAAGGAAGTTTCAGAGGAATGTTCTGCTTGACTGAATAAATTGTGAAGCTCTGTAGTTTCTACAGCAAACAAATAAATTTAAGAAAAGTGTGATATATGGATTTTTTTTTTATAGTAATAAGAGCCAAAAGAAACACATTACTTTTCCTTGGTTTCTGTGACAAGTAAACAAGAAATACCAATAATAAATGTAATCCCCATGATTGATGAACAAGTACCTGTGTTTGTGTATTTCCTCCTTCGAGCAAGGCAATGCCGAGGAAAATGCCTTCTGAAAAAATTCTGTCATTTTTGGTGTTCACTATAACATCGATGACAAGTTCTGATGCACCTTCTTTATCCAGCAGACACTGAATATCTGACATTGATATCCCCATCTTATCTGAATCTTGTCCAGAAAAGCTTCCTGTGATTAGGAAAAATAAATAAATAAATCTTAATTGTAGACACTATTAATGTGTAAGGTTTTCAAATTCTTAAATTTTATTATTTTAATAAAAATATTAATCATTGAGATTTTTCCCTACAAAGTTAAATATAATGGAAGCTTGAGGCTGGGCATGGTGGCTCACGCCTGTAATCCCAGCACTTTGGGAAGCTAAGGCGGGCAGATCACTTGAGGTCAGGAGTCCGAGACCAGCCTGGCCAACAGAGTGAAAGTCCAATTCTACTAAAAATATAAAAATTAGCCGGGTGTGGTGGCACATGATTGCAATCATAGCTACTTGGGAGGCTGAGGCAGGAGAATCGCTTGAACCTGGGAGGCGGAGGTTGCAGTGAGCCAAGATTGCGCCACTGCACTCTGGCCTGGGTGACAGAGAGAGGCTCTGTCTCGGAAAAAAGAAAAAAAAAGAAACAAAACAAACAAACAAACAAAAACGCTTGAGTTTAAAAAATCAAAGTTTGCAAAAACAGAACTCTTTATTAAATGTTTGACACATGTGATTAAATGTTTTGCTTAAAAATAGAAAAAGAAAACTAGCTTATTTTGTCCTTAATTTCTACTTAAGAGATTATAACTTAACTATTTTTCCAAAGTCAAAAAGCAAAATTAATTCTGATGTTCAAATCTGTTGTTTTATGAACCCCAAATTGTATTAAAGTTTTTAATAGTGATTTTTAAATGACTCTTTTATATCTCTGCCATTTCAGTAAAATACGAGAGTAACAATGACATGGAGATGTATCAAGAGAATCCTAAAACGAGAAAACAAATGACAGGACTTACCTCCCACCTGTGCAGTTTTGGAGTAGGCTCCTGATAGGTGTCCATTCATGCCAATACTATAATCACCTTTAAAGTATCGATTCAGAAGTATCTTTCTTAATGTGTTACCCTAATAAGAAGGATAATAAAGAGTTATTGTTTCCTTTTCTAATAAAAGTGAAAAATGCCAGTATGTTAAATGCTTTAAAAGCATTTTGTGAATGATGTTGAGTCACGGAAAAATTAACTTTATATCAGATAATATTTTCTGAGGCAAAAATTTACAAATGCATCCCAATAAAATAATAATTTTGCTTCTCATAATAAATAAAGAGGATGGGAGAAGCTTTTTGGAGGTGATGAACAGGTTTATGGCAGATATTATGCTGGTGGTTTCATAGTGTATGCTTATCTCCAAACTCATCAAGTTGAAGACATTAAATATGTACAGCTTTTTGTATGCCAATTAATCATAACTCAATAAACAGTTTTAAATATAATTTTATTCTGTCAAAAATAAAAAAGAAGAGTGTGTTCAATAGAATGTACTAGAAAAATCACAAACGCTATAAATTTAAGATTGCTTCAAAAGCTGTAGTTCCCAGAGTTGGGGAGTATCAGTCACCTAAAGAAGACTCAGAATAATAAACACTCTAAGAATTGGAAAGCAAAGGGCTTAGGTAGAGGAATTTAGTCAGAAGAGCCAGAAAAGAGTTGGGAACAGAGCAGGTACTCATAAAATTAACCTTGATAAAACAGACTGAATTATATTTAAACTCCAAAATGCTTTACTCAGAAGACTGTGGGCAAAAGACAGTGTATTCCTTTACAAATTACATAATCCAAAACTTCCTAAGTCTTTAATTTTGTACTCATTACAGGACATTTTTACAATAATACATTTTGTAATATAATTGCTTGCATGTACATAAGAAACACAGATAACTCCAAATCTTCTCTTTTATTGGTGATTATTATTTTAATAAAAGGAGTGATTTAAAAGCATTATTTAAGGAATACTTGTTTAATCTATTTATATTAACACAACTTCAGAGGTGTTATTCTCACCTTGCAGGTAAGATAAGGAAACTGTGGCCCAAGAGCTTAGGAAATTGGCTGCAGATCATGCAGCTAACAGGTGACTGAGCAACACCTGACTCAACTCTTGGCTACAAAATCCAGCCATTTCTTCATGTCATGCTGCATCCAACATTCATGCTGTGACACGTAGCTCTCATTGCCCCTTCACTTTCTCATATTTTGGTTATTCTTTCTCAAGTTCTTTAGGTATTATCCTCAGTTCTTTTGTTGTGCTCCTCTTCTGTTTGGCAATTTCATCTTATCCTTAGTTACACAATCACTTCTGCTGGTCTGCCTGCCAAATGTGTTTCCTCCAGCCTGGACCTTGCTTTCCTAAGCTTCTCATTCTGTTTCCATTTAGATTTCCTTACCTGTGTCTTGAGGTTCCACTGGAAGCTCAAACTCAATTTTTCAGAACAGAATATTCCTTCTCTTTCAAATGTTTTCCCCTTAATTTTAATTTCTTTTAAGAAGATCACACCCATTCTCGTCATTTAAGCTCCAAATTTAAGGAATCACCTACTACACCCCCACCCCAACTTGACAATGATTTGAAATGTCAAATGACATGAAATCCTGCCCGTTCTACCTTTTCAGTTGTAGCTTCCAATAGTGCCTTCTTAAATTACATTTTAACCAAATTCAACCATGTGATCATTTCTCTCTCCTTTTTTTTTTTTTTTGAGAAGAGTCTCGCTCTGTCGTCCAGGCTGGAGTGCAGTGGTGCCATCTTGGTTCACTGCAATCTCTGCCTCCCGGGTTCAAGGTATTCTTCTGCCTCAGCCTCCCAAGTAGCTGGGATTACAGGCGCCCACCACCACGCCTGGCTAATTTTTTTGTATTTTTAGTAAAGACAGGGTTTCACCATGTTAGCCAAGATGGTCTCGATCTCCTGACCTCATGTTCCACCCGCCTCGGCCTCCTAAAGTGCTGGGATTACAAGCATGAGCCACTGTGCCTGCAAAGCCTTCCATGTCTTTCCTTTCCTCCTATTATATTCATTGCCTGAAATGATCTTCCTCCATCTTACTTATGAACCAGTCCTATCTTCCCTCTTCATTCTACAATATTCATTAGGTGCCAATTGTTTTAGGCACCATTTTAAGTCAATAAGATATAACCCTCCCCTCAAAGAGTTCACAATGAGATGAGCGCAATAATAGGAACATCTACCAAGTCTTCTGGAAGCATAAGAGGAGCCATTGACTCTGAGGAGGCTCTACATGGCATAGCCTGTCTACTAACTTATGTGATCATCAGACAGACCTGTCTTGTGCACAGTTAACACCCAACTAACACGTCCTAAATGTCACAGTGCCAAGAATTTTTACTTATTTATTTATTTATTTATTTATTTTGAGATGGAGTCTCGCTCTGTTGCCCAGGCTGGAGTACAGTGGTGCAATCTTAGCTCACTGCAATCTCCACCTCCCTGGTTCAAGCAATTCCCCTACCTCAGCCTCTTGAGTAGCTGGGATTACACCATGCCTGGCTAATTTTCTTTCTTTTTTTTTTTTTTTTTTTTTGTATTTTTAGTCGGGACTAGGTTTTACCATGTTGGCCAGACTGGTCTCAAACTCCTGACCTCAGGCAATCTGGCTGCCTCGGCCTCCCAAAGTGCTGGGATTACAGGCATGAGCCACCACACCCGGCCAGTGCCAAGAATTCTAATAGACACTGGGAGTGTCTGGAGTTTGCTTATCCTTATAACAACTTTTATTTATTGGTACTTAAATTCTTAGAACACAGACATTTATTATTGCTTCCTGTTTCATGTTTTCTTTCTTTAAGACCTCTTCATAATGGGGCGTAAAAGTAAAAGTGGTGACTAGTCTCAAAAGAAATAGTGACGTGTAAGAACTTACTCTACCAAGGAATACAACTCTACTATCCACTATCCCTTATAAAACTTAAATACAGCACCTAGAAGAAACATAAGAAATGAAAATAGTCCTTACTTTTTCTTTTTTTAAGAGAAAGTCCTTTCAGTTGAATTAAATCCACCTGGGCAAAGGATATTTCTTCCAAAAGGAATGGAAAAACAAAATAAAGCATTTCTTTGGAGTCAACGCCTTTGAGCAATTACTGTGACTCTCATTATAGCAGAAGGAGATGCTATGAAAAATCTTTTAGACTCATAAACTACAGGGTTAAAGTTATAGTTGGGGAGAAAAATGTGAGGTCATATTAACTGAAGCACTAATTTTTTTAAAGGGTAGCTCAGTTTGTTGTACTATTCATGGATCTCGCCTCTACAGACCACTCACTCTAACCCTGTAGGAGACAGTTGGCCCACCTGTAATAACTGAAGCTGACAATGTGAAAATCCGGGACTTTTTCTTGAAATTGCACAAGTCAGCATCACTGTCTGAAAGGGAACCTGTTGTGAAGACGACTGAACCCTTATGAACTAGCTTCCCTTTTAGTCTCTGCAAGAATCTTTTATGTATTACTATTTCTATTATTATTTAGAGATAGGGTCTTGTTGTGTTGCTCAAGCTGGAGTACAGTGGCACAATCATAGCTCATTGCAACCTCACACTCCTGACCTCAAGCAATCCTCTCACCTTGGCCTCCCAAAGTCCTGGGATTACAGACATGAACCACTGCACCTGCCCCTGGAAGAGTCTTTTAATCACACCTTTTTATCACACTGCTGCAAGAACCCAACCAAGAGATAAACCAATGAGTTTTTTTAAAGATGAAGTAGAAAAACTTTTTTTGCCATTTACTTTTTAAAATGCCCTTTATACTGCTAGAATAATAAAACTATTGAAAACCAGCCAGAGAGTAGAATTATGTCACACCAAATCAAAATAAGCATCATATTTGTGATTATTTTAAAATTCGCTTTGGCAGATAAAATCACAGTACCTATCAGATTCATAGACATCAAAATCAAATGAGTGACATTCTTCTTATTCAATTATAGCCTCTTAGAAGCATCTATTTACTCACTATTTAATATTCAGACTGCCATAGAAAAGGCAGGGGCTTCCTATTTTTCTGTTCTCAACTCTGAAGCCACTCTGCCTGGGTTTAAATCCCCTCAACGCCATATACTAACTGGGGATCTTAAACAAGTTACTTCATCACTCTGGGCCTCAGTCCCTCAATTGTCCAATGAAATTGTTAATATCTACTCTCAGAGGACTTCTGTGATAACTAAATAGTTAAAATTTACTGAAAGTACTTGGAACAGTTTTCAACACATAGTAAGTGCTATAAAAGTTGTGCATTGTTGATGTTATCCCTGCTAGTATTATCCAGATCATGGGAATAGTCTACAATTTGCAAAGTGCTTTTGTAGACACTTTCTTACGTTATACCAAACCTCCCCACAAAAATGAAATAGATTTCTAGTATATTAAGAAAATGGCAAAAATAATAAATGATAAACTCCCCCCAAATCCTAGCTTTTTAACTATTAATCAGTCCTTGGAATTATATACTTATTAGCTAACATGGCAAAGTCACCCTAAAGCATAAACATACTTCACTATATAAAATGTACCCTTACAACTTCAACTAAAAGTTGAAACAAATTCTGTCTTGGTTCAAACTTCATAGTTTTGTGCTAAGACAAACTCTGGTGCTAAAAGTGATTAATGAATAGGTATAAACAGAACAAGATTCTGTTATGTCTTAGTAATCTTCATTTAAGAATAAAAAAATTCAGATATTGCTACATCACAAGTTCAGCAGAAACTGACTTCTCTTGACAACTATCCAGTTCTGACTTAAGCGGTGAGAGACAAGTACTGTGTCCCAATTTGCTTTGGGGCATTCTTGATAGTTTACACTATCTGTACAGTGGTGGTAGCTTAAATGTGAGTCATTTCCCCAAATTACTTTAATTCAAAAGTAACTGTAGAACCATTGTCAGAAATTCTTGTGTCAGGGTTGCAAATAATTGTCTCAGAGCTGTAATTGCCATGGCAGATATGAGGGAAGAACTAAAAGCACATTAGGCCATTGTGAAAAAAATTTCACCACAGTTGAGAAGTTTGACTTCTGTGCTGGTTCTTCAAATCCAAAATGCATTCCTGA